CTCCTTTCTTAACAAACTTAGAACTTATAACATAAACAAAATTGTTAGAATTCAAAGGCACTTGAGATGAAATTCTAGGGTGGATGACTTCAGCATCGAATTCCATGGTCAATGAACCATTGAATACATCGATCTTGGTATGAGAAGTCTTTAGGAAAGGTCTTCGTAATAAAAGAGGTCACTGATCTTTCGAATACTCCATATCCATGATGAATATGTCGATAGGAGAAATTAGATGCTCAACTTTAATTAAGATATTCTCTAAAACACCTTTGGGATAAACCAAAGATCCGTCAGCTAATTGCATAATAACATCAGTATTCTTCAAAGAACCAAGATTTAAAGATTTGTAGAAAGAATAAGGTATCACGCTTAAAGAAGCACCAAGATCAAGCATCGCATTCTCGATAATACTTCTTCCAATAGAACAAGTAATAGAAAACGTACCTGGATCTTTGCACTTAGGAGGTAAACTCTTTTGAAGCACAGTAGAGACATTAGCTCCAACGCTAACCTTACCTTGTAATCTTTTCTTGTTGGAACAAAGTTGCTTGAGGAACTTTGCATAATTTGGAATCTGTTGAATGGCATCAAGAAGTGGGATGTTGACCTCAACTTTTCGAAATATCTCCAAAATATCTTGATCATCATCTTCTTTCTTTGTCTTCTTCAATCTTGATTGAAAAGGAATTAGGTTGGAATCGGTTTTAGACTTGTTGGAATCGCACACACCTTTTCCTTTAGGTTGAATTACGGCATCATCTTTGTTTGAATCTTCAATCGGCACAGCTCCTTTATTATTGGGTTCATCTTCAATCTTGATTTCGGCAGGCTCTTGTAAATCTTTCTTAGTGTAGTTCGCCTCTCCTTCTTCTTGTTGATGTGCGGCATGGTTTGGATAAGGGTCTTGCAACTCTTTTCCACTCCTTAAAGAAATTGCACTGACATTCTCTCTAGGAGGTACCTTTGATTGTGATGGAATCCTTTGTTGACCTTGTGTCTTGAGATCACTCAAATCACTAGCTAATTGACTAATTTGTTTTCTCATCATCTCCATAGCTTCTTTGATTTGTTGTAACTCGATAGCTTGTGTAGATTGAAAATTAGGTCTTTGGAAATTCGGCCTTCCTTGAAAATTACCTTGATTCCATATTGTTGACTCGGTTGTTAAGGTCTCCAATAAGGTTCAGGCTTCCTTTGATAAGTTCCTTGTAATCCCACGGCATTGACTCCTTGTTTGTTGTCTTCCAAAGTCGCACAAACCCTAGGCACACTTGAAAAATTCGCATGGAACAAATCAGTGAGCAAAGCGATTTGTTGATTCGTTTCTTGAAGTTGTTGCTCCAATGAGGTGGAATAGGTAGAAACTTCATTAATTCTTCTTGTAGGGCCTTCTCTTGAATAGTCTTCTCGAGATCCAAATTGTTGAGTATTTGCAGCCATGTTTTCCACTAAAGACCAAGTTTCGGCAGGAGTTTTGTCGATGAAAGCTCCTCCGCTTGCAGAATCGATGGAAGATCTGTCAAACAGTAGTAATCCTTCGTAGAAGTACTGGATTAGCAACTGTTCATTGATTTGATGATTGGGGCAGCTCGCACAAAGTGTTTTGAAACGTTCCCAATATTCATGCATTGTTTCTCCATGGCGTTGCTTAATTCCACAAATCTCCTTCCTTATACTTGATGCTTTATGTGCAGGAAAGTACTTTTCCAAGAACAGCTTCTTAAGACTTGTCCAAGATGTGATTGAACCAGTGGGTAGAAGGTACAACCAATCTTTTGCTCGGTCCATAAGAGTGAACGGAAAGGTTTTTAACATGAATTGATCTTCAGGAATACCTTGAATACTTGTAGATGTGCAGGCAATCTGGAAATCAGTAAGATGTCGGTGAGGATCTTCTCCAGGCAAACCGTGAAATTTGGGTAAAATATGAATAAATCCAGATTTGATTTCAAAGTTTCCATTGGTATCTGGGTAACGGATGGCTAAGCGTTTGGTATTGACGTTTGGTGCAGCTAACTCTCTTAGAGTTTTGGGTTGTTCTTCTTCAGCCATGTCTTCTGACGATGTTGAAACAGCAGATCTAGGTGAACTAGATCGAGAACTGGAATTGGATGTCTGCTCTTCTTGTACTCGGCTTTGTGTCTTCTTCTTCTTCTGAATTAGTGTTCTTTCAGGCTCAGGATTGAATTCTAAACCTTCAATACTACTACTTCTTGTCTTTGGCATGCAGTTTCCTAGAAAAATCAAACAAAACTAAAAAGAAAAATTAGCAGTAACAGTTCTCAAATAAAATAAAAGGCAGAAACAGAAAATAAAAATATAATTTTTTAAAAGGAAAAACGGAAAAGAAAAATTAAATTTTTTTTTCAAAAAAATCGGAAACCCTAATTTTAAAAACGGAAAAATAACTTTTTTTTTAAGAAAAATCGGAAAAAAAAAACTTTTTTTTTATCGACGCAAAAACAAAAAAAATTTTTTCGACGCAAACTCTTTTTTTTTTATAGAAAAAACGGAAAACCAAAAATTAATTCTTGGATTTAATCTCTCCTCTCTTCAATTCAATTCCCTTCCCCGGCAACGACGCCAAAATTTATGATCGTGTCGTCTGTGACCATAAAAATAATCCCCACAATAAACTAACTAGAATAGCTAGGGCAAGTAGGGGTCGAATCCCACAGAGAAGGGTTATGTGATGAACGATAGAGAATAAAGAAAAATCTTTACCAAAAATCAAACAGAAAACAGGGGATTGTGAATATCAATTTATAAAGAAAACAATTAAACTAAAAATAAAGCAAAGCAAATTAAATCTAGATCTGAATCTAAATCTAAAGCAGAATATAAATCAAACAATAATTATAAAGCATACTTCTTCTCCAGTGGTATGATTCAATCAGATTAACTATGGATCCTCGATTTAAAAGGTGAATTTAGCATCTTATTCTTGACTGACAACTGATATAGGTTCCCCAACATGTATTTTAGATAAGAGGCCGATTAAAGCTGCAGTTATCCCTTTTATTCCTTCAGCAATCGATTACTTTCTTAGGGCTTAAAGATCACTTAAGAACAAAGCATTAAGATTAATTAATTTTACACACATGCCTACAAAGTAGAACCATACGAAGAGAAATTTCTCGCCCTCCGATAGACAAATACCCATTAAGCAGCGATTAAACAAACCTAATTTGCTACATACAATCAAACTTGAGTGATTAATTCTAAGCTTGATCTAGCCATAGACCTTCCTCTTACATCGTTAGTGGCCACATAACTCAAATAAGATTCGGAATCATAAAATTAAATCAGGGTTTTGACTACTATCATCAAGAACTTAACACAAAATTATAAGTATAGAAATCTCACCATAATCAATTGATTGAATTCACCAAAGGATCAGAAGTATTAAGGATTTAGCTACTCATGGACTTAGGAAAATCCATGAGAGGCATAAGAATACTTACAGGACTAGGGAGGAACGATTTCTCCCCCTTGAAACCCTAGGGACGTCGCACCCCTCTATGGCTAGAGAGGGTGTCGACTTCTCCCTCTTCTAAAACTAGAGAAAAGCCTAAAAACTAAAGAAAGGTAGAAAAAGAGAATTATCTAAATCTATGATGTGTATCTAATGTATGATTTGTGATACAGGAGGTGGCTATTTATAGTGGAGGAATAGGGTAGGACGGTTTAGGCTCTGACTTGGTCTCCAAGTTGTATTAGGTGTCATCCTAGAGTAGAATCCAAGTTAGATGAGGACTATAGAATTTTCTGGAATTTTCTGGAATCTGGCAGCAACTTCGACGTCGATTTTGGGCTTGAAGATGGCAGATCTGGGCTTTGCACTTCAAAAGAAAGTTGTAGAGCTCGGAGTTAGCTTTCCAACGACTACTCATGGGCTTAAAACGGACATCTGAGCAGAAAGTTATGGCATATCTACGAAGACTGCGCTGGAACCGGGCTTATATCGCAAATCTGCAGGATTATTGCGGGATTTGGATATTCTTTTGGATATTAGGCCTACAAATTGAGATTTTAACTCCAATTATAGGTTTATATGGGCTGAGTATATTCCCATATAAATAATCCAAAAATACTCAACTTCAAGGCTTCTTCTGGGCTTGGCTTCAATCCTTAGCAAATAAGCTCTAAATCTTCAACTTTTACTTCTTGAATTAATTCTTCAAATCTTCAAAATATTTTCAATCACGAACTTCGCATCTTCAAATCTTCACTCCAAATGGCAAAATCCATAGTTGAGTAAAAAGTCTCCAAAATAGCTCCAAAAAGAGTGAAAAACAATAAGTTTTCACCTTTCTTGTCTTCAAGACTTAAAAACACAAATACTAACAAAATATGGTAAAAACATACATAAAAGTGGTAAAAAGTATAGAAAAATAGCTATAAAAACATGCATAATTTGAGCTTGATCAATATTAGACTTAATAATTGGATAGGTGGCTAATCACACCTAGGTTAAAAAAAGATTAGTGGCGACTCCCATAAGAACCCTAATAGTTTTCCCCCCAAGTCGTTCAGACGGCGGGGTTCGGACCCCCAGGCCCGCCATGTTGCGACAGCTTGGCGACTCCACTGGGGACATTCAGAGAGTCAAACTGAACACTGGTTTAGAACTAACTAGGGTTGCATAATTGGTTAAGTGTTAATAGCTTTTTTTCTTATTTATTTATGCCTATGTTCTTATATTGCACATGTATGTCATTCATTAATGAAGATGCATTCATACTTGTATATATCTTGCTTAACCTTATATCTGTCGTTTTTCTCTGGGGGTAGTTTAGTATTTGAGGATGAGCATGTGTAGTAAAGGTTTGTATGTTCCTTCACACACGCTCACTAATAATTTGTAGTTCATCCCTGCCACTCATGGTAGTAAGCAATTCATCCCTACCACTCATGGTCTGAATAGCGTCAACATCGTCTATGGGAAAGAGAACTCCAAACAGGAAGCCCAAGAACTGCAAAAAACCCTCGAACAGATGACCTTTGTCAAGAAGGGTGGAAGAGATGCAAGGGTGAAACCAGAATACCCCGATTGGCATCAGATGAGAGTAAAAGATATCAAGGTACCTCCTCCTACCGATCTTGAGGCTGCAGTAGGTGAAGAGATGGAGGATATAGTTATGAAGCTGACAATGCAGTTGAAAAGGCAGGAAGATGACGCTGAAGCCCAAAGGATAGCAGAGGTTAACCGGCAACTAATGATAAGGATAGAGGAAGTAGAGAAAAAGGCTGAGGAAATGAGCACCAAATGCAGAGAAGCAGAGGAAGAGGTTAAAGGTGAAAGGAAATTGAAGGAAAAGGCCATGGCTCAAAACCGAGTGCTCAAAAGGGACTTCGAAGCTGAATGTAGGGAAAGAACCAGTTTGGCCAAGAAAAACAAAGCTGCTAAGATAGCAAACAGTTACCTCATGGAGAAATTGGACTTTGAAATGGGAGAAAGTTCTGTGAGAGTAGATCAGCGAGTTCAGACTCTGGATCACCGTTTGAAAAGGGCTAGGGAAGAAAAAAAACGCAATATGAGTTAAGAGCAGAAAAGGTCAAGACAGAGGCAGCTAAGGCTCAGGCAGAAGCAACTGTGGAATTCCACAAGCAGCCAGGATAAACCAGGAAGAGTATGGAAAAGTGATGGGCACGCTCAAGAGCCTAGAAGAGGAATATGCAACATTGAGGGTTGAGAATTGAACACTCCAGGATCTGGGATTCTTGCAGAAAAATGCCTATGACCAGAGATGTGAGCAGATACGCTTTCTTCTGGATCAGATCAGGGTTGGGTTGCTCCAGGTAAAGGACATCAGGGATCAAGCCAGAGATGTGTTGCCATGCCTAGCCCCATTCGGTCAGCGTCTCCAGCCAGTAGCCGATTCCTTGGAAGACACTGTCAGCAAGTGCAATGAAACCCTCGTCTACTTCAGACAGTTTGTAGGGAAATAGTGGTGCTAAGCCTTTGTAATAATCTTTAATTACTAATTGTTCATGTAATTAAAGTTTATTTTTGGAAAAGAAATTTGTAATCTTTAAAGTGTTGAACAAGTAATTTGTAGTCTCTGATTTCGGAACAATGGGTTGTAATTCTTGAGTTTTATTTATGGAACCATGGCTTGTAATCTTTAAATTCTGGTCCTCAAAACATTGGATGTGAGGCATGGATGATTGCAATCAATGAAGAAGTAGCAAGTTATGGCGACAGCAATGATTCCCAGCTTACTTTCTCCGCCCTGAATGATGAGTTAGTTGGTTCATGCATCATGACATGATTTGCATAAAGCCAAGAGCCCTGATTATTCACAGAATTGTAAACAGTCATGGTTTTTGACTTGTGGAAGTTCCTACCAGAATGTGGAGGGACCCCACATCTTAAATAACTTTCTCTACCTTGAATAAATTCATGACATTCATTCACATCATTTGCATAAGGCCAAGAGCCCTGATTATTCACAGAATTGTAAATGGTCACGGTTTTTTACTTATGGAAGCTCCTACCAGAATGTGGAGGGACCCCACACCTTTAAAGGTCTTAAATAACTTGGTAAATAATGAAATAACGGTTAACTCGGTTCAGGAAACATCCTTTCACACGATCATGGAAGAGTACGTCGCTAGACTACAGCGGGTGGAACAGACCCAGGAAGAATTGAGATGGGATATGAAGAATATGGCAGCAATGATACAACAGTTGGTAGAAGAGAGGGTTAGTAAATGAATCCCAAAACACAGACGACATTTTAAGGGACCATCCGGAATCCGTGCGGAAAGGTCGAGTGAGGAAAACCCTAATCTTTATGTGTCTCGACAGATCATGGACAAGTTGCCTTTTACATGCCCACCGGTTGTAGGATTCAAGCCCTTAATTCCTGATCCTCCCAAGTTTCCAGTAAGGGTAAGGACGAATATGCCCAACGGCCACTACCGACCATACCCACATAGATGGTAGCGGTTAAGACAATCGAGTTGACTAGGGGAGATATCGCCAAGAAAGAGGGACATGAAAAAGGTCCAGCAAATGCCCAACCAAAGAGTGAAGGACAACAATATTACCCCCAACCTGACGAATGTGGATATCCGTACCAGCCTCAGGGATACTACCTTCAGAACCTTTGTCATTCTCGATATTCGGGGGTTGTTAAAGTTGAAGGCGAAACGCCTTTTTACCCAAAGCCCCAAAACAAACGTCTAAGAGCACCTCGAGCAGCTCAACAAGGGAATTCAGCAAATCAGCCAGGTAGTAAGGATCTAGCAGTTGAAGAAATACCAATTGATCCAATCCCGTACACTTACACTGAACTGCTTCCACAATTATTGCAACGGAACCTGGTACAAAGGCTGCCATACTCAAAACCTTTCGCGAAAGCTAAACCCTGGTATAACCCCAATGCCCACTGTGATTACTATTCGGGGACTAAGGGACATTTTACAGAAGACTGTATAAGGCTAAAATACGCTGTACAGGAATTAGTGAGGTCAGGAAAGCTAAAATTTGGCGATATAGCTCAAGCTCAAGAAGACAATCAGATGAATAGGGGTGGAGGAACATAAAGCATTAGACGGGAGGTTTCTAAGTTAACTACACCTTTCAATACAATTCAGTGGAGAACTCAAAAAGCAACATGGACCGGACAAGCAAGGGAAAAAGAGTCCATAGACCCAATCCCTTACACTTACACAGAGATGTTACCACAGTTATTACAACAAAGGTTACTAAGTTAACTACACCTTTCAATACAATTCAGTGGAATACTCAAAAAGCAACATGGACCGGACAAGCAAGGGAAAGAGAGTCCATAGACCCAATCCCTTACACTTACACAGAGATGTTACCACAATTATTACAACAAAGGTTACTGGAAAGGCTACCATATGCTCAACCGTTACCGTTGAATCGCCGACCTAGGTGGTACAACGCTGATGCAAGATATGACTATCACTCAGGAACAGAGGGGCACACAATAGAGGATTGTCTAAAATTGAAGTATGCAGTCCAAGAGCTGGTAAGAAACGGCAAGTTGAGCTTCGGTAAAACGGCTCAAGCTGACCAGACACAAGAGCAAAGTGATAACCAGGTGTCTATGGTGGGAAGCGGAGAAGTCCTGAGAAAAAAAACTATACGAGGTCGAGACACCTTTTGGCTTCATATACAAGGTCTTGACAAACGCAGACATGCTCGAACTAAGAGAATATGGGGATGGGGATCATGAAGAAGTCTTCCCTTATCATGGTTTAGTGCACGGGATCCGCCAATGCCAAGAATTCAGATTGAAAGTACAAAAGCTAATGGATGAACGCTGAGTTGAGTTCTATTCTAAAGCAAAGGAAAGAAAAACAGATACTGCCCCGAAACAGGAACACCCACCTATCAGGACAGACACACTCGTGGGTCACTCATTTCCTCCAATGCCCTACGTAACAAGACCATTCTGACTCTTTATTTCTGGGGCAACAGCAGTAGCACCCTTCCTCTTATTATTGCCAGCCTTGGTGGTGGTGCCGCCACAACCTTTCCCTTATGAGTTAGGGGGTATTCATATAAACAATGGGTCGGCGTTGAATATAATGACTTTAAATACCCTAAGGGATTTACCGGTAAAACCCGCATTCATTCAAGTCGGCCACAGGAAGATTCGAACCCCAGATGAGGAAATGAGAGAGGTTATTGGGGAAGTAGAGATTTGCATGGAAATTGGGTCGACTCTTTTCTCGTTGCTGTTCCAAGTAGGGGATATGGAAGCACCTTATACATGCCTATTAGGTCGCCCTTGGGTCCATTCGGCCCAAGAAGCTACGAAAGTAACCCCTACAAAAAGCCAGGAAGGCGTGATCATTAGTGAAACCGGAACGCAGTCGTATGGGCACCCATTTCAGGTAAACAAGGCTAGCCATGCTGAAGAGATGAAGAAAGACGTGACCAGATGTTGGATGGAGGGTCAGAGTCTAGGAAAAGATTCTCAGGACAAGACAGAGATAGTGGGAGACCTTACTATAAGTCCGGGGTTCGGATTGGGTTTCAAGCCTATAGCAAAAGATCACCAGATGTTGGATGATGCAAGGAAAATGATGAAGGCTGAAAGGTTGGATATACTACGGTTGTCACAAACCTTCAGATCAGCTGGATGGGTCAGTGGGGAAAGTCAGCCTGGGCAGAAAGAGGAAGCTGTTATTCAAAAGAAAGTCGGACTCACCATCAATGCAATCACAAAGGAAGGAGCAAGGACATCTTCATGGATTTATCCTTTGGCTGCAGGAGAAGGAGTTGGCAACTAGGAGACTTTTGAATGTGCCGTTGCGATGGCCGAAAGTTCAATATAATGAACCAATTGCTAAGACAATCATGAGTTTGTAATTAAATAATTTTGCCTGTTTGAACTTAACTTGTCATGTTAAACTTTTTATCATGAGTACTGAAATGCAATGCATGTTTCAGGCCCACATTTTAGTCTCATATTTCATTCTATTCATTTATTTCTACATATTACTATATATATAGTTTTTATTATATTTCAGGCCAAATAATGATGAATGCAAAGACGCTCCAGACGAGTCAGGATTTGACTTTGAGAGGCCTATCTGTACTGATAAGCTAAATGATGAAGACAATGAGGATCAGACCCTATTATCAGACCTCTTGAGATTAGTGGAACAAGATGAGAAACAAATTGTACCACATAAAGACCCACTGAGTTGATTAACTTGGGAACGGAGAAGGCTCCTAGAGAAGTTAAGATCGGTATCACCCTGTCAGAAGAAGATAGACAGGAATTGATAGATTTGCTGAAGGAGTTTTCAGATGTGTTCGCTTGGTCTTATCAGGACATGCCAGGTTTGGATCCAGAAATACCAGTCCATCGGCTGCCCACAAAAGCATATATGAGGCCAATGCAACAAAAATTAAGAAGGATGAAGCCAGACATGTTGAAAATAAAAGAGGAGGTAGAAAAACAGTTCAATGCTGGTTTTCTTTAAGAAGCCAAATACCCTGAATGGCAAGCTAATATAGTCCCAGTACCTAAGAAAGATGGGAAAGTAAGGATGTGTGTGGATTACAGAGATTTGAACAAAGCTAGCTCCAAGGATAACTTCCCATTACGCCATATAGACATATTGGTGGACAACACTGTAGGATACTCATGGTTCTCCTTCATGGATGGGTTTTCAGGGTATAATCAGATCAAGATGGCGCCCGAAGACATGGAAAAGACTGCATTCGTAACTGCTTGGAGAGTCTTCTGCTACAAGGTTATGCCTTTCGGACTAAAAAATGCAGGGGCAACATACCAGAGGGCCATGGTGGCATTGTTCCATGATATGATGCATAAGGAAATAGAGGTGTATGTGGATGATATGATTGCCAAGGCCAGGATGCCGAAAGAACATAACGAGAATTTGAGGAAGTTGTTTGAAAGGCTAAGAAAAGTCCAACTCAAGTTAAACCCTAATAAATGTACATTCGGGGCAACATCAGGAAAGTTGCTAGGTTTTGTGGTAAGTGAGAAGGGGATAGAAGTAGATCCCGATAAGATCCAAGCCATACAGGGGTTGCTCCCTCACAAACTCAAAAAGAAGTAAGAGGGTTCTTGGGTCGTTTGAACTATATAGGTCGGTTCATTTCACAATTGACGGCTAAATGTGACCCAATCTTCAAATTGCTGAGGAAAAAGAACCCTGGAGAATGGGACGAAGAATGTCAGGCGACTTTTGAGAAAATTAAGGAGTATCTGGCAGATCCACCAGTATTGGTCCCACCAATAAAGGGAAGGCCTTTAATTTTGAAAATTCAATGGGGTGTGTATTGGCGCAACAACATGATACAGGTAAGAAGGAGCATGCCATCTATTATCTGAGCAAAAAGTTCATGGATTATGAGGCCAAGTATTCCGCTCTAGAAAAGATGTGTTGCGCGCTGGCTTGGGCCGCACATCGGTTAAGGCAGTATATATGTTATACCATACAACTTGGTTAATATCTAAACTAGATCCGATCAAGTATGTGTTCGAAAAACCCGGGTTGTCAGGATGGATTGCTAGGTGGCAGGTCCTCTTATCAGAATATTATATAGTATATGTCTCCCAGAAGACAATCAAGGGAAGTGTCATAGCAGATTTCCGAGCAGATCGGACAAGAGAAGAGTACGAACCGATGAATTTTGAGTTTCCGGATGAAAATTTGATTCCCCATGTCAAAAAGGTTGAGAAGACTGAGGAAAAATGGATAGTATATTTCGATGGGGATTCAAACTTATCTGGTCAAGGCATCGGAGCAGTACTTGTGTCCCCTGAAGAATATTATTATCCGGCCACAGCCAGACTGAAATTTCCAACAACTAATAATGTGGCAGAATATGAGGCTTGTGTCCTAGGAATTCAGTTGGCATTAGAAAGGAAAGTAAAAAGAGTAGAAATATATGGGGACTCAGCCTTGGTGATTTATCAGATGAAAGGAGAATGGCAAGCCAGGGATTCAAAGCTAGTACTCTATAAGGACCACGTCTCAGAAATGATCAAATCGTTTGAAGAAGTGACATTCCATCACCTGCCCAGCGAAGATAACCAAATGGCAGACGTTTTGGAAACTATGGCGTCTATGTTCAAAATAGGGGCAAAGACAGAAATTCAACCCATCTATGTCCAAACCAGGAATTTGCCTGCACATGTCATGAGTGTGGAAGATAAGGCAGACGGGAACCCTTGGTACTTTGATATTCTCCAATACCTTAAAAAACAAATAAATTCGGAACATGCCACTGAGGTAGATAAGAGAACACTCAAGAGGATGGCTGCAGGATATTTTTTGAGTGGAGAAACGCTGTATAAGAATGGATGGGATGGAACTCTAATGAGATGTGTGGATTCGGCAGAAGCGCGGAAAATTTTAGAAGAAATCCACGGAGGATCCTATGGGAGTCACGCCAATGGACACAGGATGGCTAGGCAGATAATAAGAGAGGGTACTATTGGCTGACACTGGAAACAGATTGCATTGGCCATGTGAGGAAATGCCACAAATGTCAGGAATATGGGGATTACATTCATATACCTCCAAATCCCCTACATATTATGTCCTTCCTTGGCCATTCTCCATGTGGGGCATAGATGTCATCGGAATGATTACTCCCAAGGCGTCAAATGGACACCAATTCATCCTAATGGCAATAGATTACTTCACTAAATGGGTGGAGGCTGCTTCTTACCCAAGCGTCACACAGGTAGTGGTAGCTCGGTTCATCAACAAAGAGATCATCTGTAGGTACGCGTTACCTGAGAGAATCATTACTTGATAATGCTTCCAATCTAAATCGAGGGTTGATTGAAACGACGTTCAAACAATTTAAGATTATCCACAGCAATTCAACCACATACAGGCCCAAAATGAATGGGGCAGTTGAAGCAGCAAACAAGAACATCAAGAAGATCTTAGAGAAAATGATAGTGACGTATCGGGATTGGCACGAGAAATTACCTTTCGCCCTCCACACCTACCAAACTTGTGTCAGAACGTCCACCGAGGCAACCCCTTATTCTTTGGTATATGGGATGGAGGCGGTAGTGCCGATAGAGGTAGAAATCCCTTCACTAAGGGTGTACTGAGAGCTAAAATTGGAGGAGGATGAATGGGTACAGGAAAGAATGGATCAGCTAAATCAAATCGATGAGAAGAGGGTCGAGGCAATCTGTCACGGCCAGTTGTATCAGAAAAGGATGGAAAGGGCATATAACAAGAAAGTGCACCCTAGACAGTTCAAAGAGGGGGATATAGTACTAAAAAGGATTCTCCCAGATCAGAGGGGCCCTAGAGGTAAATGGACCCCAAATTGAGACGGCCCATACGTAGTAAAGAAGGCTTTTTCAGGAGAAGCCATAATTTTACAGGAAATGGATGGGGAAGAGTTCCCGAGTCCCATCAATGCAGACGCAGTAAAAAATCTGGGTCTAAAAAAATAAGAGGTCACAAAAAGAGAAAAAAAATGAAAAAGGAAGGGTTCAAGTTGAAAACCCGCAAAGGGCGTCTTGGATCCACAGGGGGTCGCTTGAGTCGAAAACCCAAAAGGGCGGCTCAAAGCGAGGGATGGAAAAGGAGGAACTTGAGCTGAAAACCCGAAAAGGGCAGCTTAAGGACTAAAACAACAACAGGCCAGGGCAGATGGGTACAGAGCTATCTCTTGAAGACTAAAGAAGTAGGGTGCGATCCAGACTGAGTAGGTGCTATTAGTACAGTAGGCTTTTCTCTTGGAAAAAGCCAAATGTCGGGTCATCACATTGTCATCAGAGTATTCATCGTTACAAGGCGCTACCTTTTCTATGTTGTCCTTTTTCTTGTAAATATGAGACTCTCTTGATTAATAACTACACTCTTTTCAATATTAATGCAAATATTCTGTTCCTCCTTTCAAATGTGTGGGTCTGTCATATTGCATAGCATGTCATTACAAGTCATGAAAGGTATAACATTACAACAAAATGCTAAATTAACTTTGCAATAAAGCACGTAAGGGAAAGCTCCCTAAAGTTGCCGAGGAAGGAAAAACGATGGTGGGCGCATATCTCATCGTAGATGATCGGTTAAAGGTGAGTAGAGGTTAAGGTCGGAAGGAACAATAAAGGAAGAACATGAGGGGATAGAAGCAGAACCGCTAAAACAACAGCTAGAAATAGTCAGACAATCAACTGAGATGCTAGAAGGATTACAAAACAGGTATCTAAATGACCTAGAAGTGCAGCAAATGACAACAATGCCAGGTGGATTAATTTACCATAGGGAGGAGCCATCTATACCAATGCAGGTTGCAAATGATTCAAACTCTGCTGAAAGTAGCCAAATGGGGGTTAAGAGAGGAGAGCAGACGAGGCAGAAAACAAGAGAGGAGTTGGAGTTTGAGTTGAACCTACAAATGGAACAACAAAATCTGAAGATGGTTGAAAGTCAGATCATTCTAAACCCATCAGCAAGGGAGAATGCATCCTCAACAAATCAGTGTACCAATCAAGAAAGCCAGTCTTCAACTCTACTCTTGAGACCAGGAATCCTGGTCAATGCAACTAGCCCTGGCTTCATTTGTACAATAAATGAAGAAGATACAGTGTCAGCCTTTCTAAAGGACACACTATCGCAACGTCCGCCGGGGGGGGGGGTCCGAACCCTACCGTTGAACGACTTAAAAAGGGGAAATACTATTGAAATCCTATGGGAGTCGCCACTAATCTTTTTTTGCCTAGGTGTGATTAGCTACCTATCAGATTATTAAGTCTAATATTAACCTAAGCTTGGCAAAGGCAACACTAAACTTCTAACCAGAGTTTTAAAGGTTCGGGAGTCGGGTACGCGTGCGGAAGGATTAGCACCCCCACGACGCCCGTCAAAAGACGGCACTGACTAGTTTAGAATTCAATGTGGGTTTCTATTACTGGTTGTCTTTATTCCTAACTGTTTTCATGCCCTTAAAAATTTTATTAATTTTTGAAATTTAGCAAACAAGCAAGCAAAAAATAGTTTTTAGATTTTGAAATAGGAATGTTGGGGACTTCCCCATTTATTATTTGTTCTCTTTTTGGACTCGTCATGATGAGGATTTTCTTTAAAACTTACCGTTAAAACGACTCTATTTGAAAAATGATGTTTGAACATTTTGAAAAGACTTAAATTGAACACTTTGAAAACTTGATGGGAACTTTCCCAATTTGAAAAGACCTAAACTGAATACTTTGAAAACTTAGAATGAAATTCTTTTTTTTTTTATTTTTGAATTTTGATTTTTTTGGATTTTTGAAAACCTTTTTATTTAATTTCGAAAGACTCAATTTTTCCTTTTTTGATTTTTTATCTTGGAAAACTAAAAGAGAACAATTATCAAGCACAAACTTTTTTAATTTTGAAGAAAATGGTTTTATTCTATTTTCATTTTCAATCCTTCTTCTTCTTTTTTTTTGGATTTTCTTTAATTGTTAATTGAAAATTACTAAGTCTAACCTTAGATGCATAAATGCAAATGATGCATGAATTCTAATTTGATTTTAATTTACCCATCAGTTATACGAGGAACAACTTTGGCCACCTCCCAATAAATGGTAAACGACGTGCGGAAACTTCCAAGCCTCCGGGAGAAGGCGAGCAAACTCAGACACGTATGAATGAGCCGTCCCCCTTTCCCTTCACGGGAATCATTTTAATTTTAGTCCATAAACATGGCATAATCAATAATATAAAGAAGCATAAATGTGAATGCATATGAAACCTATTTACCAAAGTCAAAATTATTTCCATCTTAAGAATCTATATTGATTCATACTTAGACTCTAAATAAATCCTTAAGTTCACAATTTATTAAGGCCCAAATAAAGCCCAAGTTTAACTAAAGATAAGCCCAAACAAAGCAACTCATCAAAATTGAAGCCTAAAACTCAACTAACTACTAATTAGGGGGCTTGACAGAAATTAAAACTTATCATAGAAGGATGACGCCCAAGTATACAAGTTAAAGCCCAGATATAAATTAGAAGTCCAAATACAATTCTTCCCAACATAAAGTCCCAAATACCCAAATACCTCTCCTTTAAATCTCATAAAGGCCTAAACGTGATTAACATATACATGAATCTAAAATTTGATTTAAACTTATCTTAACTCAACTTAATTTTCCAAGTCACCTTCCTAATGTCTTCCAAACGTTTACTCTCCAAAGAAGTTAATCAATTTATTTACATTATTCAAATGGCTTAATGGGCAAAAAGGCCCCTGAACTTACACCGAACCGTCAAATAAGCCCCTGAACTATTATTTCGGCCAAATAAGCCCCTGAACTCTTAAAAACGGCCAAATAAGCCCTGTTGCCAAGGCTAAATGCTCAAATAAGGACTAAACGTTTTAAGATTTTCTCAAATAAGGATCAAAATACACAATTCCAACAAATTAGAACACATACTTAGCAAATTTTTACAAATTAGGGAATCCTTAAATGCAAACCAATGCTTCTCATACATATACGTTAAATTTGATAAAAAAATGATATTATCATGTTAATTAAAAATCAAACCCTATTAATCAAAATAAATTCATTAACGTAATATGATATAAAATTATCGTGTGATTTTCAATTTATATATCCTTCACATATTAGTATTAACTTATATTGTATCCAATTTGTAAAAAAATATTAAGTTTGTTTTCTAATTTGTTGAAATTGTGTATTTTGATCCCTATTTGAGAAAATCTTAAAACATTTAGTCCTTATTTGAGCATTTAGCCTTGGCAACAGGGCTTATTTGGCTTTTTTTTTAAGAGTCCAGGGGCTTATTTGGCTGAAATAATAGTTCAGGGGCTTATTTGACGGTTTGGTGTAAGTTCAGGGGCCTTTTTGCCCATTAAGCCTTATTCAAATCTAGCACAAATTTTAATTTCCAACTTGTTTATCATTTAATCTTCTAAAGAACTAAATTCTAAACTTTTAACCACCTACCTATTAACTTAATCTTGGAGTCCTGAAGTCAGAAGTATATCTCCATTTTTTTAATAAAAGGAAGCTACTTCAGTTTATTTACTAGACTAATTAATACAATTTTAATTTAGATAAAAGTAAAGGACACCGAATTTGGACAAAACCAGACAAGAGGAGACCAAATCAAACTAATGTAAGAATCAAATTGAAATCGGAATCAAGTATAGGTTACTAGTATGAACTAATTAACAACACAAAGGACTAAATCGAATAATATCAGGCACTAAAATGTATGAATGATTAAAGTAACACACCCAATAACATAAAATACCACATAAGAAGTCATATTTATAAATACCAACAGATCTGTTATTTTGAGAAAAAAGCCTCAACCTTACCTTGTCGCTTTCACTTCCCTTCGTCGCCTGAAAGTTGCACCGTCGCTGCCGCTGCCGTGTCGGAGTTCCAAACCGTTGCCAATGAAGCCAGAAATCTACCAGTAAGCTCGCACAAGTGGCTCCTCTCCGGATCTGGTGTTAGTTACAACGTTATCCCCTCGATGTGTCCCAAATAAGGCAACCCAAGGGTTTGAACAAAGAAATGTCAGATCTCTTCGATCTATCGTCCGATGGTGTTAATCTTCGGGTAAGTTCCTTCCCTTTCTTTTCTATGCTAACTCACCGAATCAATTTCAAGAAAAACGACCTAGAAATCTACAACCCCAAATCTGACCTTCATGAACCCTAACATTTTCTCTTTGTTAATTTTTGTTTTGAGGAAATGACAAAAACGAAATCTGAGAAGGAAGTGAGGAGATGAATGAAGAATAACTAAGCTAAAGGAAAGGTAAAGTCTTACTTTTTTTTGGATTTTTTGTTCTCTGTTTTTTTGCTAATGAAATTGGAAAAAGGAAATAAGAAGGGAAAATCCTTTGATTTTTTTTGGTTTTCTGCGTTATATCTTTTTTTTGTTGCTCCTATATTGAACTTGAAGGACTAGGAAAATTAAAGCAAAAAGAAATTGCTCTGAGTTTTTTCTTGCTAGGGTTTATGCCTCTCTTGGATTCTGTGTCTCCTCCATTTTTTTCTAGAAAGTGCGATATTTATATAGCCCAACCATTGAATCCCCACTGTATGAGTTTTTATTTTGCAATCCAAAGGCTCTCCTCCTCTTACTAGTTGGTTGTTGATTCCCCATTTTAACCAATTTGTCTCTTGTGAATTGTGTGCATTGTGTGCTGACAGTACATGTAAATCAGTGTATGAGTCTGAATATGCCCTTCATTTGTCTCTTAGTACAGGTGGAATTGGCTTCTCACGTGTCTTTCTAATCCTGCAGGTGATTTTTGTTGCAAAATGGGATGAGTTGGTTCTTTAAAAACCAAGGAAAATGTGAGAGGTGTGCAGGTGAATTTCTCCATCTTTTCTTTGTCTTATTACTGCTTTTTGATTAAACACTGCTGCTGTTTTGCCATTGCCCTTAAATTCCCACTCTTTGTTGTTTCAAATCGAGACTCACTTCTGCTGTTGGCTTAATTTGTGCACCATTTGTTCATGTTTACCTTTAATCACAATTGCGGTGCACTATCTCCTCTCTGTTTATTTATGAGACCTATTTCCATTTAAGGCCATGCTTGTGATTGCTTCATCGCCCTGTTGTAATGCTCAGTTAAGTCCCGATATTTGCGATCCTTTGTGCCACTGTTGTATGGTTAGCCTAAAGCATTTTTGAGAGCCTGTGATCATGCATAGAAACTATCCTGTCTTAATGAAAAATGCTGCATCATGTAGTCAAAAGGCTTCCCCTCTGTTTTGCTTGATACTTGATGCCATTGCCTTTGGTTTCCGAGTTCCTGAATGGTTTGAATGAATTGTTTTAATAATACTGCTTGCCCCAATTTTGATTTGCTTTGCCCCATTGATTGGTTGTCCATTCCCTTATGCTGCCGCCTGCCAACTTTAATTTCAAAATGCCTATATTTGCTATGAGATTGCCTCATCTTTCCTTAACATTGATTGCCCTTTTGTAATCTATCTTTGCATTACTAATGTCAATGACTTTATCCTACTACTAACTGATTATTTCACGTTGCAGAGTAATTCAACTTACCACTGCATCCGAGCCTTAAATTAAGCATATAGAAGATGGACAGGAGAAGAGAAAGGCCTGTTATCTTTTATTATTATTTTGTAACATGAACAATGGCATTTCTTTGTAAGTCTTGTAAATTGTGAATGGCGTATTTGAAGTGAATAAATGGACTCTATTAAGCAACTGAGGCCCAAAGAACAACTACTCAAATCCAAATATCCAAGAGTAATATAGTGGCCACTAAAAGAATGAAAGTAAGCCCACAATGAAAACCCAACAACGAATGAGCTTAATCCAATGAAATGAAAAGGATTAAAAGGGAAATGAAACGAAAATTAAGAAAAATGATTAAAGGAAATGAGGGGTAAGAAGAAGAAAATGAACATGGTTCAAGGAAGGATAAGTACTTAATTAATGATCAAGAGGAAAAGAAATTTTTAAATTAAGCAATGAACAAGAGGAAAAGGGATTTAAATTAAAGTGAGGTACTAAAAATGGGTGTCTACACACACCTTCACCAGAAACAGGACCACTGGAGGAAGAGAAAGACAAGCCCCATGATGGCCCTCTCGTAGAAGAAGACATAGAAAGGGAGGCTGAAAAGCACAGTGCAAAAAGGAAAAGAATGGAAGATGAATTTGCAGAAACAGAACTGGCAGAAAAGACAAATGTGAAGCAGAGAATGAAAGATATTGAAAAGGAGGACAGGTTGAAAGATGACAACATTGAACTTCCAACTGTGGGTTCCAGGCTTGCTGTCCCGCAACAACAGCCAAGGGCACCATGAGTCTTCTAAGTTGGAATGTTAGGGGAATTGGTCACCCCCTAACAATAGCACATGGAAGTGACCTAGTTAGGAAATATAATGTAGTTTTTTTGTTTTTTTGATGGAAACTAAAACCAGTGTGTGTAAGGCTAGTAAAGTAACTAGAAGTTGGGGTTTTAGTAACTGTAAGGGTGTCTTTAGCCAAAGACTTAGTGGGGGATTGCTGGTTTTATGGAATGATGATGTTTTTGTGGATTTCAAGTTGGTTAATAAGAATTTAGTTCATGTGTATCTTTAGACACCCGTTTTAATATCCTTTTAAGAAATTGCCAGGGGTATTTTCGTCATTTTTAGCCAGGGGCATTTTGGTAATTTTTCATTTCAGGGGCATTTTGGTCATTTTCATTTCAGAAATATTTTGGTCACTTTTAGGGGCAGTAAAAGATCTCAGCCTTCTAGGAGAAAGCTTAATCAGTGATAATAAACTCATGTTTTCTAAGTTAAATCCTTCTTTAATCATGTACTTTGAAGGCAAGATTGCATAATATACAGAAGAGTTTGCACTTAAGAATTAATATAACTTCATGATAGTGTTCAGAATAAAAAGTCCACAAAATGAATAGTTACTAATACACAAAATTGGAAGTCGAAAATTAATACAACAAGAGTGTCAATTGGAAAATATGAAGACATGTGCTTTTGCATTAGTTTCTTCTATTGTAAAACCATGCATTTTGCCTCTATTTGTCCTTCTTAACATCAATCCCTGCAAAATAAAAAAAAGTAACAAGGGTTGACAAGAAAATGTGCCCTCAAGCTCAAAGTTGTACACCATGGATTGGTGAGAACCAAGAGAAGGCTCGGAAGGCATAACTAAATACAAAAGACAATGCAGCAACATCAAGCAAAGAGAAAAAAACACATTCAGGGGCTGTCAAACAAGCATGCACCCGAGCGTTGAAGGTCTTTTAGAAGACCTCATGTGCAGGGCTGTGCATGAGAGGAATGGTGGGAATGGTAACAATATGAAGAACCACAAAGTAAGGAAGAACAAGCAAGCCAACAAAGAGTCTCACAACAGAGCATATGCAAGAAAAACAACAGGCATATGAGACATTTTTGCCCTCGGCTGAATCGAGAAGGGAATTCAAGATCAATTCCTGGTCCCCAAAAGTCAGTGCAGCCTTGAAATCACGCAAGACAACGTTACAGGCAAATTAAGATAGAACATTCTCACAAGAACAGCCATTCAACAATATTCTCAAGGCCACCAACAGTTTTTAGAGCAAATTAAAAACATGGCATTCTTCAGATTCAAGGAAGAGGCATAAAGGCAAGATAGATGGCATGGCAGCAAATTTAAACACAAAACAAATAAGCAAGTTCAGGGCAACGAGAGAGCAGGGCTTGTTTATGCAAAAACAGAAAGATCCCCCTGCAATTACATTTAGACGTTTTGCATACATCCAATGGCATTCATCAAAATTCCAAAAAAAACATACTGCATGCATTTAACAAAATAATCTAACATGACATAGAACACTAGGCATCCTTACATTCAGTAAAACGCATGATCAGCTAGCCTTATAGCATGCACACTAGCAAGATAACAGTTGAGAACATAGCAAGATCAAGGGTCATCCTTTCTATTAACAGGTTAGCCAACATATGAGCATGAAGTATTCAAAAAGCATCGCAACGGGCAAGGTCACCAAAGCAGGGAACAGAACAGGCATTCCAGAATAAGAGCAAACAAAGTGCACAACCTAACCATAGCAGTATAGTTAGGATTATAAGCATCTTGTCACTGCAAATTCAGCAAGCACTTCACTACATTTAGCATAGCAGCAGGCCAGTTCAGAGCACCATCAATTCAGCAAGATATAGTCAGTCGGTCAACCGTAAGCAAAGCAAGGAGTGAACCCTCACCTGATGTGGCAGATCGTGACTGGTGCCAGGATTGGCCAGCTCAAATTGCCAATTGTCAATTCAGCAACACACAAAAGAGGGAACACGTAAGGAAACATGAAACAAAAAGAGAAAAAAAAAACAAAAAGAGAACACCGGCACAAACAGAGCACGTGAGGAGTTAAGGAATATAATGAAAGGAGACAAAGTCAGGGGATTAAACAGAAAATCCCAAGTCGAGAAAAAGGGTAAGCATAAGGGATTAAAACCCCAATAGGTCACTCAAGCAAGAACCAATGCCAAACCGCCAGCTCATCGTCTCCTTCACAATACAGAAAGGACAGAATTAATAGAAGACAAGACTAGGGATGGAAATGAAAGCCGGATATAACAAAAGTGAGGAACCGGAGAAATTAAAGGGGCTAATAGAAAAATAAGTCACCTAGGTTGCAAACCGCTTGGAGAGTGGTATTCGAAAACCACAGGCTCAAAAACCGGGCAAGGACGGTGACTCATCGTTGGACAACTCATAAGACGCGTCATCCCTATCCAAAATTGCCACCTGCACCAGATAGGAATGAGGTCAGAGAAGGATCTAGAAAGAAAAGAAAATTGAAAATTAAAAAACAAAATAGGAGAACCATCGATCTAGAAATGATACCTCTCACCCTTTTGGCCTATAAATAGGCCTGTCATCTTCCTCGAAAGGGGGAAGATTTTTTGAAAGGGGAAACTCTGTCGGTTTAGAACTAGGGTTCATCATTTCTAATTTGGGGTTTTTTTATTTGAGAAGTTATTCCGAAAATTGATACCATGGAAGCGTTAAGAACAGAGAAAGGGTAGATCTAGGTTGGTTTTTAGTGAAATCAGAGGGCTAGAGTTAGAGATCTGGGTTTTTTTTTCGGGTATTCGGGAAAGACAAAGAACTAAAACCATCGATGGAAGAAGAATGAAAAGGGGAAGCTCGGGCTGAAGATTGGAGGTTGTTCACGGTAGAAATTCACCTGTTGCGGCGGAGGAATTGTCAACAGCGGCGCTGCGGGGGCGGGGTCTAGGGTTTTCGCGAAAGAGAAGAGGAGTCTTCTGTCTTATAAGCCATACGCGCCCGAAACGACTGTGTTTTGGGTCAACAAGGGAAAAGTCAACGATTTCAGGTAAACCCTTAACTTCTCTTCAATTTAGTCCCTAGATTTAATGCATTTAGGTCTGGTATGTTATTAGCGCTTATAATCAGGTCCTGAACCTCTGTAATTAAAGCAATTAAATCCTCTAGGTTTAGTTCCTCTTCAATTTAGCCCCTGAATTAGGAAATTACCCTAATTAAATTCATAATTAAAAAAAGCTTGATTAAGGGATTAAATCATTTATTTTTTATGTGCAAAATTGACAAACCTTTTGAAGTATCTTATACTCATGACATACATAAATGTTGTTGACATTATGCTCATTTGAGAAAATTAAATTGACACCGATGATGGAATAAATGGGTGAAATGTGACAATACTTGTCCATTTTAATCCTAGTTTCCTAGGCTTGGGGTTTCAATTTGGGGGTCTTACCAATCAAGTGGAAGGTGCCCAAATAATACCCCTCGTATAAATATTTGGGTAAAATGTGATTAAACCGGAATACATGCATCATATGCACAATTAAAGCTTTAATTTGGTGTGATTAAGGAAAGTTAAGAAAAATAAATCTTAATTTAGTGAAATTAAGGAAAATTAAGAAAAATTAAGAAAAATTAAGAGAAGTAGGCTTCAATCCAGTGTGATTAAGAAAAATTAAGAAAAGAAAGTACAGTCAAGGTCCTAATTTGAGTAATTAAGGAAAGTGAAGTCTTAATTCAGGGTAATTAAGGAAAGAAAGTAGAGTCAAGGTCCTGATTTGAGCAATTAAAGAGAGTAAACTTTTAATTCAGGGTAATTAAGAAATGAAAGTACAGTTAAGGTCATAATTTGGGCAATTAAGAAGAGTAAACCTTAATTTAGGGTAATTAAGAAAAGGAAGTGCAATTAAGGTCTAAGAAAAGAAAGTACAGTCAAGGTCCTAATTTAGGCAATTAAAGAGAGTAAAGTCTTAATTCAGGGTAATTAAGAAAAGAAAGTACAGTCAAGGTCATAATTTGGGCAATTAGGAAAAGTAAACCTTAATTCAGGGTAATTAAGAAAAGGAAGTGCAATTAAGGTCTAAGAAAAGAAAGTACAGTAATTTAGGCAATTAAGGAGAGTAAAGTCTTAATTCAAGGTAATGAAGAAAGGAAAGTACAGTCAAGGTCTTAATTTGACAATTAAGAAGAGTAAAGTCTTAATTCAGTGTAATTGAGAAAAGAAAGTCCAATCAAGGTCCCAATTTGGGTAATTAAGGAAAGTAGAGTCTTAATTCAGGGCAATTAAGATAATTAAGAAAAATGAAGTCTTAATTCAGGGCGGTTAAGAAAAGTAAGCATGATTGAGAGCTTAATTCATAGAAGTTAAGTAAAAACAGCAGTTAAAGAGCTTAATTCACAGAAATTAAGCAATCAAAGGACTTAATTCATGGAAATTAAGTAAAAACGGCAGTTAAAGAACTTAATTCAAGGAAATTAAGTAAAACCACAAAGGCTTTATTCAAAGTAATTAAGTAAAAATGGCAGTAAAGCACAGACTTAATTTCAAGGAAGGAAATTAGGTAAAATAAAGCAGACTTAATTTCAAGGAAGGAAATTAGGTAAAGTAAAGCAGACTTAATTTCAAGGAAGGAAATTAGTTAAAATAAAGCAGACTTAATTTCAATAAAGGAAATTAGGTAAAGTAAAGCACAGACTTAATTTCAAGGAAGGAAATTAGGTAAAGACAACATAGACTTAATTTCTGGGAGGAAATTAAGTTGAGATAATAAAGGGCTTAATTCAGGGTAATTAAGTAGAATAAAGAACTTAATTCAGGGTAATTAAGTGGAGTCAATAAAGGGCTTGATTCAGGGTAATTAAGTAGAATAAAAGGCTTAATTCAAGGTAATTAAGTAGAATAAAGAACTTTATTCCGGGTAATTAAGTGGAGTCAATAAAGAACTTAATCTAAAAAGAGATTAAGTACAACAATAAAAGGGCTTAATTTATAAAGATTAAGTCAAAT